AACTCGGAATTATTTAGTACAGAATTTAATTATTTTAGATCTGACAGAAATTTTTCAGTAAGCGATAAAACAAAGGGTGGTGGAGTGCTGATTGCGATCCATGAAGAATACGTCTCTACCATGATAAATCTTCAGGAATATTCTTTCCCTGTTTTCAACTTTGTAGACTGCCTTTTGATAAAAATTAAATTTAAGTTTACGCATATATATTTGTGCAATTTATATATACCACCAAAAACGCCTCGAGATGAATTCGAAAGCCTTTTTGAGTCACTGGAATCATTGAACTTTTTGTATGGTGGTAAAATTCTAATCCTTGGTGATTTTAATACCGCCGATTACGTTTTATCTCTTTCTATCACACAAACTAGCTATAAGCTAACTATTTTAAATAATTTCGTTGATGTCACAGATCTAACACAAAATAATTTTGTTTTCAATAAATTTAATAAACTTTTAGATTTGGTATTTTACAACGGCCGCTGTATTGTTGAGAAATCCTTAGATCCCTTAGTAACCGAAGATAACCATCATCCAGCTTTAGATATCAGTTGTGAATTAATGAAAAACCTGACAACAAAAATAACCTAGAATCTTCTTATACAAATTGTTATAATTTTCGTAAGGCAAATTTTCCACTTATGTATAATATGATATCAAATATTGACTGGACTTTTTTAGAAAGCTTTTATAGTGCCGATGATGCCTGTACATATTTTTATGGCAAGTTGTATAATGTGTTAGGTCGTTGCGTTCCCAATTATTCAGTGCATAATAAAAAAAACATATCCTCCTTGGTTTAATCCCAGTATCATTAAAAAATAAGAGAAAAATCAAAATTTTGGCGTCAATATAAAAAAGACAATGATATCAGGGCTTTCGAAAAATTTAAGCACATAAGAGCTGAAGTTATTGCAATTAAAACAGCACATGAAAATTATCTGTTAAAAGCAGAGAATGATATATCTATTAACTCTAACAAGTTTTGGGCCTACGTCAACAGTAGAAAAAGTTCTAGTAAAGTTGCTAATAACATGACCTATGAAAATAATACACTGGACAATCCTGCTAACATACTAAATAGTTTTGCTGATCTTTTTAGCAAGTCCTACGTTCATTCTAAAGTTTCCCATGTTGATGTGAATGAACTTCAATCAACTTGTTTAAATATTGACAGTTTTGACGAAAGCCAGGTACTTGGCGCATTAAAATCTATAAAACCTAAGCATACTACGGGACATGACCATATTCCTGCATTCATTTTGAAAGATTGTGCCCAAGTACTCGCTTATCCTCTGACAATCCTGATCAATATTTGCATCCGTTCCAGTACTATTCCGTCCATGTGGAAGAGCTCTAAAGTATGTCCGATTTTTAAAAATGGAAATCGAACTGACGTTAAGAACTACCGACCTATTTCTATTATTTGCAATTTTTGTAAAGTATTAGAAATATTACTGGAACGCAGTATTTGTCAACATACAGTGAGCACCATAAGTCTTACCCCCCCTATCTAACTCGTTACTGGAGTCTTGTTAGGAAAATCGCCGAGACAGGTTGATTTTTGATTTCTACAATGTACATTTTTGTATGAATAGTTTACCCTTAATTTCATCCCTTACTGGAAGGGAGCAACCCTTTCGAAAAATTTAAATGGCATGGGGTGGTGAGTGATAGCTCATTTGAAAGAGGGTTTTATTCTCTATTCAACTGTGTAAAAAAATTTGAAATTTGCTTCATTAATTCTCGACTAATTGTTGTTTCAGAATAACGGAAATTAACGTAGCGCACTTATCCTTAGAATTAAAATTCGGCCCTGCATGACTTCGGTTTTGGTTCAGACGTGAAGTAAGACTTTTTGCCATTAGAAGGTCACTGTTAGTCTAGTTGCTTTCCTATTTTGTGAGGTTTTGTTCTTTTTAAACATAAATAAATCAACATGTAATGATGCAAATTTCAAAATTTTTTTGCACGGTTGAATAGAGAATAAAACCCCCTTTCAAATGAGCTATCACTCACCACCCCATGCTATTTAAATTTTTCGAAAGGGTTTTTACCTTTCAGTAAGGGATGAAATTAAGGGTTAACTAATCATGCAAAAATGTACATTGTAGATATTAAAAATCGACCTGTCTCGGCGATTTTCCTAACAAGACCCCAGTAACGAGTTAGTTAGGGGGGTAAGACTTAAGATGCTCACTGTATAAGTAATGCGTTATCCACTCAACAACATGGATTTGTAAAAGGTCGATCAACAGTAACAAATCTCTCAGTCGTTACTCAGCATATAGCAGAAAATATCGATATACGTACTCAGACTGATGTTATTTATACAGATATGACTAAAGCATTTGACAGACTTGGAATTTTAGTAAAATTTTAGTAAAAAAACTGTCTGCTTTTGGACTCTCAGATAGTCTTATTGACTTACTAAAATCATATTTGTGTAACCGTTCACAATACGTTCAGCTCAATAGGTTCAAGTCTGTTAAGTACCTTGCCACATCGGGTGTTCCTCAAGGGTCGAATCTTGGCCCACTCTTATTTAATATTTTTATAAATGACATTGGTAGTGTAATTATTGTTAATTATCTACTGTATGCTGATGACATTAAAATTTATGCTTCCATAAATAGTATTGCTGACTGCGAACGACTTTCTGAAAATCTAAAACAAGTTAATGAATGGTGCCATAGAAATAATTTAAAATTGAACCCAGCGAAGTGCAATGTAATGTCGTACTCCTTAAAGTCAGATCCAACTTTTTACCAGTATATTGTTGACGAAATTCCCTTAAACAGACCAAAAAACTTCGCCGATTTAGGAGTCCCATTTGATTCAGCACTTTCTTTTACTGACCATGTCGATAGTACTGCATCCTCATCCAATCGTACATATGGATTCATAATCAGAAACAGTCGTGATTTTAAGAAAGTAGATACCATAAAATGTCTGTATTATGCTTTTGTTCGATCCAAGCTTGAATACGCGTCACTTATATGGAGTCCATTGTATCAAGTACACATTGGTCGTTTGGGAGGAATTGAGAGACGATTCCTAAATACTTAAGTTTTAGACATGATCTAGTTTATCCACCCATTGGCACCCCACACGACGCCGACGCCTTATTAAATAAACATGGATTTTCAAGTCTCGATATAAGGCGAAAATATTTTTCTGTAATTATGCTGCATAATGTCATAAGCAATCAAATAAACTGCGAATGTCTATTACATGTGCTTAATTTAAAAGTTTCACGTCTAGCCTCAAGATACACTGACTCATTTTACTTACCAACACCTCGTACTAATATTTTAATGAACTCACCGTTGTATAATATGTGTAATAATTATAATCAGATAAGTCAGGAATTGGATATATTCCACATTAGTATTCAGGATATCAAAAGGCATTATTTAGGATAACCATCATTGTACTTTATTTCCTGTAATATTTTTCATTTTTGTATGTTTCGTCTAAATATTTTTGTCATATGTTCCTATTCTGTGGGTATTACTTGTAAAATAGTGTATTTAATAAATAAATAAATAAATAAATATTAGGTGCGAACTGCTCAGTACTTACTCTAATTTTACAAAAAACTAAAGACTGATCAGAAATTGCATCATGTATTATTCCCTTTTCAACAGGAGCTCCTTCTTGAACTATCACGTAATCAAGAAGAGTAGCTAATGTTACTGTAATTCTTGTAGACTCGTCTATTAATTGAGAAAGATTAAGCGTTTCTAAAAGTGAATAAAATCTTGATACAGTTATGTTACTAAAATTCAACAAATATAAATTAAAATCCCCCATACATACTATCTCATCAAAAATTGGCAAAATAGAGGTAAGACTGTCTTCAAATTTATCTATAAAAGAAACAGTATTTTGCTCATGAGGCTTATAAATAACCCCCACTGCCAATACTTTTTTATTAACAACCAATGTTATCCACAGTTGTTCCCAAATACAGTTTTATCTACTAACCATTACCTCGTAGCGAAGTCCGTGTCTAATATACTTGCATAAACCCTTTCCCCTAGCATTTCTATCAGCTCTAAGTAAGTTATAATCTTCAATATTTTGCATGGTCACTAATAGAATCTTTTAACCAAGACTCGCAAATTAAAAATATATCAAAATTATTTTCTCTGATTATATCATTTACATCATGAACAGAAGGTGGTAAAGATCTAACATTTGCACAACCAATTTTTAAATATTTCATTTATACTATTAAATCTGTATTTGATATAAAATAAATACAGAACGCAAAATCAACTTTATTTACTAGCGATAAGAAATAAAATACCTGAGAGGTGCGACACAATTGCACATGTACTGCGAAAAATAATCTAAATAATTTAATTGTTTTAACCTGCAAAAATTAAAAAAAAAATTCAAAAAGTTTTAATTTATAACTATTCACATAACTAAATATAAATTGTGTTTCAACAAGAAAGCAAAAAACAATAGTTTGTATTAATTAAAAAGTTCAGTATCTTCCAATTCATTGATTTTGATAATTTGTTCTTTATCATTGAGTTTTAGAAAAATATTCCCTGACATTGTCCACACTTTTCCTCTTTTTCCCACCTTCTTAAGAGTTTCTTTTATTATATTTTGTTGTTCTTTAGACAAATATTCTCTAATTACAATTTTGGTTTGTTTTAAAAATCCTTTCGATTCTGATGAAAAAACTATTTGATACGCCCATGGAGATCACAGTTGTCAAAAGCTCGTAGATACTGGCTTCAAACTATGACTTCAAACAAAGCCTATGTTATACGGCACCCGTAACTTATCTATATTTCATTTGTTTATCTGAGGAAATGACGTAATTTAAGGTGGTTTCTGTCAGAAATTGACATTTAATAGAATGATTAGTGACTTGCTTTATTTTCTGCTTGCAATAACAAGTACCTAGCATACCTATATGAAATGGATTTATTTGTTATGCAATATATTTAATATAAATATTATTATTATTCTTTTAGGTAACTCATCATTCAGGAACTCCTTAACGGGGTCTTGGTTTATACAAGAGCTGTGTAAAAATTTTTCTGTTTACGGAAAAAGAGATGACGTCATCAGTTTGATAATACGAACTACAAAATGTGTATGTGGAAACTATTATCATTCTATCAACATTTCTGAAGAGCCTTATAAAATCAATAATGTGAATCAAAAGCAGATGCCCTTTTTTGTATCAACTCTAAAGAAGAAGTTTTATCTGAATAGGAACAAAGACAGAGATTTACTTATTAGAATAGCTGAAAGCAATAAAGAAATCTTGAAAAATTTGGAACAAATTAAAAAACAACAAAAAACACTATTGGATAGGTTAAAAATGAACTAGGTATTGCTCAAAAATAAGGAACAATACTATCGATCTTATAATATATTTATCCTTAGATCATTTTAGTTATTGTTTAATTTAATGTGTTAATAAGTTGTTAATTTTTATATTATAAAAGTACTTATACCTAATTCTGTTAAATTAATGATAATAATAATAATAATAATAATAATACTCTCCCTAATTCACCCCCTTACGAGTGAATTTCAACCCCTGAAGTCGACTGAACGACTTGTGTAGGGGAAGGGACGGCTATTATTATTATTTGCCGTGGCGCTCCGGGGCGACTTAAAGATGATTGATGGTGCCATTTGACTTACAGGTGAGGAAAACCCGGAAAACCTCACCCACCATCATAAAACCTCACCCACCATCATAAAACCTCACCCACCATCATGATATTACCTACATTATTTCTTATGTACATAATAAATAAAATTTTCCAAATAAAACATTACAAGTAACATTCAATAGGTTTATTTAAAAACAAAAAATCTCAGACCATAATCTAAGTATCCAATTACGTGTGACTATTTCTCCAACTGTTGCAGCAACGTTGGTATCGGTGAGGTATCTGCCTGTCTTTTTTTCATCAATCTATCAATGATGAACTAACAGCACTGTCTTTTAATTCAACGCTGCTGTAATCGATACAACACCAATCCATCAGTTTCAATGAATAGTTTTTCCAATCAGGCATTCTAAGCAAAATGGCTACCAGTGGGTTTTGGCAGGTTATGATATGGCAAAATTATGGCAACCCTGTAGGCCTGATGATTTGACAAAGTCAATGAAATAGATAGTTACATAGATTGATCATCCATATTTTTCGAAAATAAACAACATAAGCGTATGCCTTGATGCCTTGAAGTAAAAATGTAATTATTTTTTATACTATATTCGAAGGATAAATATTGGTTTGTAAACACATTTTTGCAAAATCGATTCTGATTAATGAGCACTTGCGAAGCAATATGGCCGCTCATAAACGACCCGCTTTGAGCAATCTATATATGTATCATTGACTCTGTCAATGACAACAGGCTCCACATACTTTGATTTTTATACGGAGAATGGTCGCACTCTCCGAGCAATTGTCGCACTGCGCAGGAGCGCGTTTAGAAACCCCGCACGGCGCGTCTGACCACATGCATTAGAATAGGGCCCAGACGCGCCGTGCGGGGTTTCTAAACGCACTCCAGCTTTCTGAGTGCCTTTTAAAAGGAGATAGAAAACTCCGCCATTTTGATGCCTTATTACGTGTTGCCTACATCTTGGCGCAATATTTTTAATAGGTTCATTTTAATCATCCGCTTCTGCTTCGGAATTCTCGGTTTTCTTGTTTTAATCTGACAGGTTAAAACGATTAAACCGACAATTCCGGAAGCAGAAGCGGATGATTAAAACGCACCTGAGATTTTGCTTGCTGCTGTCAGTGTCAGTGAATATTATTTTTGAAGTCACAGTTTATTGCTAAAGAATCAGTTAGCTCACTCGGGCCAGTTGAAAGTTCCAAAATAACATCTACTCCAGGGATACAAATTCAGGATACGCAGAAGACTGCTGTTTTATTATAGGCGGTTGTCATATATTGTATTATCCGAGTTGCACAGTGTATAAACTGAAACATTGATATCAAAAGTACCGACGCAGAGTGAGCGATCTGATTCTTTAGCTGTAAACTGGCATAGGAATCAAAATGGCCGCGCCCTATATTGGGCGTGTCGAACCTCTCTCTTGCACCGTATAGTAATCAAAGTATGTGGACAGGCGTGGGCAGATACTTTGATTTTCTTTTACTATACGGAGAATGGTCGCACTGCGCAGCTTTCTGAGTGCCTTTTAAAAGGAGATAGAAAACTCCGCCATTTTGAACCCTTATTACGTGTTGCCTACATCTTGGCGCAATATTTTTAATAGGTGCGTTTTAATCATCTTCTGCTTCGGAATTGTCGGTTTTCTTGTTTTAATCTGACAGGTGTTATTATAGGCGGTTGTCATATATTGTATTATCAGAGTTGCACAGTGTATAAACTGAAACATTGAGATCAAAATTGCCGACGCAGAGTGAGCGATCTGATTCTTTAGCTGTAAACTGTGTCACAGAGTTAAAAATGGCCGCGCCCTATGTTGGGCGTGTCGGACCTCTCTCTTGCCTCGTATCGTGGGACAGGCTCACAGATGTGACAAGTGACAGTTGGTTTGACAAAATTCGTGAGTATAAAGCCCGGTATGAAGACTAGAGATAAGGAGGCGAATCGGCAATGGTCAAATTTTAAATTTTTGTCCTTCTTTATGTAAAGTTCGCGAAATTGACTGTAGTTGGCATGTCTAATGACAACGCAGTCAATTTTCTATGTAAGTCAATGTAAAATAAAGTGATTTTTTAAAACATTGATGATAAGAATCAAAATAATGTGAAAAAAGTACCTGAGTACAAGTAACATGAGTGACAAAAAACATCAAAGCAAGATTTACGTCGTTTCAGATTGTAAAACAGGATAAAAATCAAATGCAAAACTAAAGAAAACACAAGAAGAAATGAATTCAATGCCTTTTTAAAGCTTTTAATGTAAGTAAAAAAAATAATGTATTTATATTTAAATATAATATTTATTGTGAACTAGTCACAATATGTATCTTACGAAGTGTAGTTATATATGCTGACTTACAAACAACAATAATTATGCATTAAATTTAACTTACTAGAAAAGAAAATGTATTTTTTATACAGTTTCAATGTTAGATAAAGAGTTGCTATTGTTATTATTTTTTTTTTTGACCCCAATTGAGTCATTGTAAATGTTTTTTATAGGATACTAAACGTTTAGAACAGTGGCAGCATATATATCGTTCCGTGCCGATAAAGCATTTTCTAGAGATGATGCTGTTCTATACTTTTTAGAAGATATTATTAAATATTATGAAAAATTCAAGGATGAGGTAATACCATGTACATTCCCAAATTTCCCTTTATACTTGTATTACAACAATAAAAAATCTGTTAACTGTGTTTTATTTTACTCTTAAAACTACCATATATTGGTTCAATTCAAAAAAAAAATTGCCACAAAATTGTACTTTCAGCAATTAAGAAACCTTTTCGAATTTGGTCATACATACCTAATTTGTATTTTATATAGAAAAAATTAAATAATTTATCAATTAAAACATGCAAGACTTATTTAGAAATAAATACAACAGTATGTTCTGTGCTTTATTTGGCTATAAATAAGTTAATTTTTATTATTTTGACAAAATTATTTATAATGTCCATAAGAAGCCATGTATTTTGAACACCGTATGTAGTACCAGCGCCCGTGCGGTTAATTATAGAAGCTCAATTAGCATGCGTTTTTTGTGACCGTATTTTGAGTATGCCGATTCGTCTCCTTATCTCTAGTCTTTATAGAGTTAAGAAATAGAAAAATTAATGTCAGTTATGTCTTGTATTTGAAAAAACTTATTGAAAGAAAATTAAATTCATTATAAAATTAGGATTTTTTTGTAAATAAATTAAGGTTTCAAAAATGGAAGAAAATCATATAAATTACAACATTCGTTAATCAATGTTCTTATGAGGTTTTAATAAAAGGTACGAATTATAATAGCCAAATATTAGTGTATACATTATTTATGAAAAGTTATTGAATGCCAAATTATTAATTTACATTCAAACATTAGAAAAACACATTTTTTTTAATAAACAATATTTCAGATCCATCCACTTAGTAAAGGTATGCAAAATTAGTGTTTAATAAGGAATATGTGAATAGTAATGATCTGTGTGAGATAAAGAAAATGAAAAATGTTATTGATCTGAAGATAAAATTATTATTAGAGAATAGTAGTCCGTGGAAAAACATTTCAAACCACCGAAATGCTCAAAAAAAAATTGTTGAACATAATTGCAATCGACTTAAACAAATTTAATTAAAAAGTTTCCGATTTAATGTGTCATAATAAATATATAAATTTATTGCATGCATATAAAATTAATAATAAAAATAATTTAAAAAAACCTACTCTAAAGTCGTGCTAATGTCATCATCACATCTTGACCAGAGGACCCCGCACTTTTTACATTGATTTTGAGTACTGAATTTTTTCAAATTTTACTGGCTTATTTTTCAGCTCTTTTTTACTAATAATACAGGGTGTGATAGAGCTACATAAACAACTAAGAATTACAAAAACGCATTTAACGAAAAACTTGGTATACCTAAAATATTGTAAAAGTCTTGAAATTAATTCAGTTTTGCTCGTATTATAGTCATAGCTCGCTTGAAATAACCAAATTCCGTTCTACTCCCACTTAAATGTAGAAATAATTCTACTAACTCTGACTTAAATGAATGACTGAGAAGCCATATTCTAATTAAAAAGCACATTCTGATTTTTATATACAGTACTAATGCCTACTTATCACTTTACTTATAAATATAATTCCATTTTTGTGGATGTAGTAGGTTTATTTTAGTTAATTTAAAACCTGATAAAAAACAGTTTTTATAGTATTACATTAATAAAAAAACTTCGTGATATGAATACTGATGGTATTTAATCCTGGCAATTTCTTATTGTTTAGCTATTCCATACCAATACATACTTTTTATTTCTTTGTTTATCAATCATAAGCTAAAAGGTTGGCGAGTGTTAGATTAACTAACAGCTAAATTATCATGATAGGGTTAACATGCCAGCGTTGTAATCTTTGCAATTTCAGACTATATGCTTTTTTACATTGTATAAAATTTAGTAAATTGTAAAAATTGTATAAATTTTTGATAGTAGGTAGTAGGAAACTTTCCATGTAGGGTGCCTTCGTTTTTTTGCCATATATTCGAGATTTGCGAATAATGTGAAACAGATGTTAATTATAGAGTACAAAGATATTCAAGTGAATCCCATTACTAAATATTGCTGTAGATACTACTGATTCAAGAGCTATAGACATGTGTGCTCATACTTTAAGTATTCTGTGGTACCTGGAATACACA